TGGCCAAAATGTTAATCATTTCATATAGCTAAATTGCAAATTAGCAACTCTAAAATCAAAAGTCATTTTTACAATCTTTAGTATTTGGTTAAATCAAATCTAAATTCTTTTCGACGGATAGCACAATTCTTTATCCTGATTATTAATTTGTTGTTGCATCATAGCACTAAACCGTCCTATTATATTTAAGTGCTCTATTTTAAAAGTCTTCTCCAAGTAGAATTGAATTTCTAATTGCCTTATTTTAGTTTCGGTTATAGACACATATTAAATGCCATATAAATTTAAGACGTTTATAAAGATATCATGATAGGCAGATTAAAGAAAGCGCTTTAACTTTCTAACTACATTAAATATAAAAAAAATTAATTTAACCAGAGGTAAACCCCCTTAAAATCACAGTGCCAGAGGCAGAAAATCGAAACTCACGTGTAGACCAGGTCCTTCTCGAGCAGCAGGCGGTAGATGAAGCCGAACACCTGGGCGGCCAGGGCCTCGTCGATGAGGATCTCGTCCCGATTGATGGCGGTGAGGGCGGCGGCCTGCAGTTGGCCGGGGGCGTGGCGCAGGCTGGCCAGCGTCAGACCGAAGCTGTACGTGATGATGGCGTCGAGGCGCGGCGTTTGCCAGCTGCCCTGCGCATAGAGGGCCTCCAGGAAGCTCTTGGCGAACTCCGGATCGCTGAGGATGGGCAGGCGGGCTGTGTGCGGATTGATGTACTCGGTGACCAGCAGGACGGAGGTGTCGTACGCGTACAGCAGGGCCATCAGCATGACGAGGGTCACATCGTCGATGTTGCCATCGGCGTCGGTGGTCTTCCGGCTGGCCAATTGCTGCATCAGTCGGATGGCAATGGGGCGTGGCAGGCCGCGCTGGGCGGACCAATGGAACAGGGCCATCGCAAGTGCCCGCTGGATGTCCTCGTAGAGGCCCAGCACCTGGTTCTGGTGCTTCTTGGAGCCGAAGGCTCGGTTTTTGGTCAGCAATATGCACTGAAAGACGATTGCAGTTATCAAAATATGTGTTCATTTTCGGGGGCCAGAGCTTGAAACATGTATTTCACTGGCTTGTGAAATAGACCATCTCCCTTGGTTTTCATTAAAAAAATATATTTTTAGTTTGCCATTATCGTATGGACCATAAGTGGGCAACAAGATGGAATACTGGGGGTTGATATTATAGGTGGGAAATGCAATATTACTAATCTAAAATAAACCAAAGCTTATAAGTCATACCTTTTTTACAATCTTTAGGATTCGATTAAATTGAAAAACAATGTTATTGATAATTACTACCAACTAATCCTTTTCCTTTAGCAATTATAAAACATAATCGTACGATTTCTATGACTGTAAAAGCCTTAAAATACAAGATAGAATACTGAGTATTGATATAATACGAAAGGAATAACATATAACTAACATGCTGATTAAGTTGCTTAATATAATTTCATAGCTGGCTTATTATAATAGACCAGCTGAAGATCAAATAAAAAATTATTTTGAATTTATATACTATAAAACGTATCTCATTCTTGAGCAGCTATAAAACGTAGTCGTACGATTTCTAGGAGTATATACATCCCCTAAAAAAAAACAACATAGAATACTGAGGGTTGGCATTATATGAGGGGATTACGATCTTACTTATTTATAATAAATTTACTGAGGGTTGATATTATAGGAAACCACATGCTGATTAAGTTGTTTAATACAATTCTATATCTGGCTAAATTGCAAGTAGTTTAGCTATCTAATTTGTTTAAATTTAAACATATTTTTGTATATAAATACTACAAGTTTATCCAACTGCTTTAGTATTTCATTGAGAGTAAAACACTTAAAAAACAATATTGAAAACTGAGGATTGATGGATTGTTTTAAAGGAGGGCAATAAAATATTAAGAATAAACTACAAGTTAGGTTGTTAAATACAATTCCATATCTGATCAAATTGAAGGTAATAAAGCTATCTATTTGAGCAGCTAAAAAATCTGTTTAAATTTAAAAATCTTTGAAAATATAAATATTACAAGTAAATCCAGCTGCTTTAGCATCTATAAAAAAGTCGTTTGATTTCATTGAATGCAAAACTCTTAAAAAAACAAGATAGAATACTAAGGATTGACATTAAAGGAGGGAAATAAAATATTATGAATATACTACAGGCTGATTGAGATGTTAAACACACAATGCCATACCTAGAAATCGCAAGCAGTGAAGCTCTTTTTTTACCAGCTTAAATAATTGTTTAAATTTATATATCTTTCTGCATCTACTACTAAATACAGCTATAAAACCGTCCCTATCGTTCCTATTACAGCTGTAAGTTTAAGACTTGACTGATTTGTGAACAGCTAAGAAAGAGATCCCTCGCAAAAAACGCACCTCCTTGTCGAGGTCCATCTCCTCGAGCAGCTCCAGCAGGCGTCCCAGTATGTTGGAGTCGTCCACCAGGCTCTGTGCATAGTTGGTGACCAGGCAGGTGACCTATTTTTTTTTTGTTATATGGCGAAAGCAGGGGTTACTCCTCGATTCCAATCCTCGATGAATGAACCTCGCACTCACCTCCCTGGGCAGCTCGGTGCTCCAGGAAACGCCGCTGACCGCCTGGAACATGTCGCGCAGTGTGCAACTGATGGCCTTCCGTCCGTCGTAGTAGAGGAGCACTGCCACCAGGCCCCTGGGCAGGCCGGGATGATGGAGCTGCTGGCGCTGAGCGGTGCAAAGCAGCTCCACGGCGAACACCTCGTCCAGGTCGAACATGTCCGAGAGGATGAGGGCCTCATCGACGAGGTCCTGCGACAGTTTGATCTTCCGCGACTGTCCTGGCAGTGGGATGCCCTCGTTGAGGGCACTTCTCAGATGACCACGACTCTTCTCGCTCTTGGCCTGCCGAATCAAAAGCAATGGGTTATTAAATCTTTAATGGTTTGTTTGGGACACTGGCCACTCTCTACCCACCGGATTGCGCAGGAAGTTGGTGAAGCTGTGCTTGTACTTCTTGAGGCACAGCTCCAGGTCCGAGGTGACGCCACTGGGATTGGCCACCGTCGCCTGGAAAACGCTGTACAGATGTTTGTACGGCGTCCACATGTCCTCGGTCACACCTACGAACAGCGGAATTGGGGTCAAGCGGGCTCAGCCATAGACTATCCAGTGACCAGGACCAGGCGGTCCCGGACACCTCACTCACCATCCATTTCACTTGGTTTCGCAGTTCTCTCGAGCCGGCGGCGCAACAGTATAGCAACAGTATAAAACGCGGCAAGCTATTTCGATTTAAGGCAAAACATCGATGCCGATTTCGATAGGTCGGGTCGGGTTGGGAACTCGGGTGGTTGGGAACTTGGATTTCCCAACGGGGATGTTACAAATAAACACTTCTGTTATAGCCTAGTTACACTTACGTGTAGACGCAATGACGCAACATTGCCGTTTACACTTGGCACACGCAAGTATGTGCGGTAGTCTAATAAATGTGCTGGCGATATATCAGCAGTTAACACCTTGGCAGTGATGAATTTCATTAGATAAAACATTTATGCAGTACGCTTTGTGTACTTCAAGAGTTTGTACATATTAAAGGGGTTACAAATAACGGCGCAGCTAGAGTCTTAAGATCTTCATTTTCCTACTAGAAATGTTAAAAATCACCTAGGTTCTATCGATTTGATTCACCTGTAAAAAATTTATAAATTATTTTAAAAAACAACAACTTTTTGAGCCACATAGTTAAGCAGCAACAATTTTGTTGGATTTTTTTGTTAGATTTTGAACAGTTCATAAACTTTACTTATTAAGCAATAGCCTATATACAACCACGAAATAATAATTCAAGCAATTGATTGTGGGCTTCATAAAAAATAAATATGATAAACAAAAAAGTTTTAGCAATATATAAAAAATCATAAACGAGTTAAAGTTTTTTATTATAGATTCACTTAAAATGTTGCAATTATTGTGAGTTGAAAGAAATAAACAGGTTAAACAGTTAAACTATAATTAAAAGCTAAACTACAGTTAAAGCTTGGATACTGTCATTTGTTGAAAGCCACGGAAAAGTTCAATACAAAGTGCTTACAAGAAGCAGAGAATATTAGATATTGGGCTTATTAACACTTTAATACTATTTAAAAATTATGTATGAGTGCTCACTCACTTTAATCTTAAAGATAACAAAAATCTTAGGTTCAGTTATTTTAAACTGAAATGTTTTTAAGCTAAATAGAGGTTAAAATTATGAAAATCATTTCTAAAGAACGTAACGGACTTTCCAGTGCCCCTCTGGTAACACTTCCGACATCGAGTTGGCAGCTCTTCGCCGCAATTCATTTTCCGCCTTTGCGACTACGGTCACACCACACACAACTTCAGTGCGGCGCGGGCGGGGCGTTTTTCGTGAAAATCTACGCACGGACTTTTCGTAGTTTCCCGATAGTACCATCCGTTTGTTTTGTTCCGCTTTTTTTTCTGTTCGACTCGACCGCCGATCCCAGTTGGCAATCGAACGCAGTGCCTAGTGTCCAATTCGAGTTGTGAGTGAATCACCAAATGGCAGTTAACTGGGAAAACTCCTTCTTTGTGGGATGCTGGCTGCCAATGCAAATGCACTCGGCGCGGCGCAACACCAACAACAAAACGGCCTAATAACTACAACGTTTATTCATATTCAAATTCATTCAAAAAGGACAATATATAGCAATTGGTAATCGAGTTCGTTTAAGAATCATTCAAATTGGAATTGAAATTGGAACGGGAGTTGGAGTTGGGAGAGGCAGAGTGCAAGTGTGTGGGGGTAGCAGTCACACAGACACACTCATACAGTGCCGCCAGTGCATAAAACTCCAAATTCGGTTCTCTTCGTTTTTATTATTCTCTCTCCCGTTCGTTCGCCCACGCAACGCCAACAGAGAAAGGGAGAGAGCAAGGGAGCGAGAGCGAGCAAGGAAGTGGTTTTTCCACCGAAAATATGGACAAAGGCAAACTGCAGAGTTAGCTGAAAAAAACGAGACACAAACAGAAAAAGAAATAGTGGTTAACTGCGAATCGTTGAAATTCAAGACGGATCGCTATCGCATTTCTTCAATTATGTCTGTTTCGCTTTTCATTCCGCTGCACTAAGCGATCGCAACACAAAGAGAGAGAGAGAGAGGGAGAGAGGACGACTCCCACTCCATACGCCCCCGCACACACACAAACACCCTCCCTCTCACCCATATTTACTATGGATTGTGGTGGTATTGCGGCACATCAACAACAACAATTACAACAGCAACAACTGCACTTACTCCAGCAACAGCTACAACAACAACAACAAGAGCTGCAGCAACAACAACATAACCTCGAGGAAGCAGCAACAATAACAAATGTAAGTATCTCCCAAGTTTCTGTTTCTCCGAATGTGTGTTTGTGTTTCTCAGTTATTTCCTCTGTACTTCATAATTTAGTCCTACACAAAAAAAAAATGTACATATATATGACACGGGGGTAAAATCGTGGTGCCGAGTACACAGAAAGAAAAACAGCAACAGTCAATTATCCCATTTCCTGACATATCCATCATGTTACTTTAAAATAAATTTGACTTTCGTTAAGATTAGATGGCGAAATTGAATTATAAATCCTATCAGTGAATAGTGATCATAAAAAATATGGGGTATTTGGTTATAATCGACAGTAGAATATTATACATAACCATATAAAGGTTCCAAAGGTTATTAAAAAGGGTATAATAAACCAAAAATTAGTTTTTTGGTTAAATATCTATAAGGTTAATTGTACAAATGTTCATTTTCTTAGTAAAATTGTTTATTTTTATTATTTATTATTTATATACATTATTAAATATTTAGTTAAATTGTAGGGCTAAACCTTTTTTGTTTAATTTTTTCATTCCTATTCAAATGGACCAACAAAAAAATGAATCAAGGCGAATGTGGAGAGTGGAATAATTAATCTCTAGGCCAGCTGCTGGGGCAATAACAACAACTCAAGACTTTTTTAACCCAACAAAGTGCCGACACATTAATTGGTGTACTAACTTTTTCGCTCTTTCTTTCGCTTCTTTCTCCGTTGTTGCCCCATTACTTTCACCGTGCATAAATTCTGAAAGAGTTCCCGATCGCTGTTCTGAAGTTCTGGGTTTGTTTATATGCGAGTGCCAGCGAAACGAAGGAGAAAAACCCGATTCCCGATGAAAGACGATGTGCGATACTGCAACAACAACAGCGAAAGCCTCCTTTGTTTTTTGCCGCAGCAGCGGGTGCTGCCCCTCCCCCTTCTGCGTCTTTATTTTCCCTCACTTTGTGGCACCCCGACAAGAAAAGTCGATTAGTTTCTGGATCAGTATGGTACTGTGGGAGTTTATTCAAACTAAGAGTACCCTGTAAAGCAACAGTAATACCCTAGACATTTGATTTTAAATAATGGAGCATTCTTTTTCATATTTACAAATTTTTCGCAAACTTAAAAACTATATTAATTAATTAAAATATATAATTTAAAGTATTTTGATTCCAAAAATGGGTTTGGGATAGAGTAGTTATGAGTTAAACACGTCAATGATGTCCTTTACTGTACTGCACGCAAACTTCTGCTCAAATACATAATACTTTATGCAAGGGTATAGCAAAAGCTACATAATAGTGGATGGGTACATGAAAAAAATTCATGTAATTTATAGTTTTTAAGTTAATTCAGCTATTCTTTGCTGCAGTGCGGGAATCACACGACGTGACTGCGTGCACCTCAAGGATTCGCAGCAGGACATTTTCCACTCGGTGCGTGTCAAATTTGCCTAATTGCGCCCATAGGTCAGCAAAATTCGGCAAAACTGCGTTTACCTACCCAGTTTTGCTTGGTGGCAAGCACGCACAAAATTTCATTTTCCCAAAAGTTAAATTTACACATCAGCAAAAAGGTAGTGCGTATAGTTGAGTAAGCCGTTGTTAAACAGCAATAAAATAAATGAAGGGACATTGGGTTTTTAAAAGTAAACGCTTTAGCATTGTTTTGTAAACATGAACGGTTAGAAAAAAGGAAAAGATGGTAACATGCTTATTTGTCGAAAATTATAAATTTATCTAGTCGACAGTAACAGTCAAGATACGAATAATATCTTGTTCTAAATTTTTTACTTTCCTTAATTTATATAATAAAAATTAATTGAATACACTGTTTTTAAATATAAATGTAGCTTTCTAGCTTATTCGTAAGCTCACAGAAATCAAAATACTTTTTCTAATCCCTTTTCCAAATACACACATTTTGGTTTATACAATCCAATCATCAAAGTACTCTATGCATTTTAAATATTACTTTATAAATACTATATAATGAAACCTTTTTTTTTTAAAAGACTGAGACTAAGACTAAGTACATTTACTGGAATTGTTTGTAAACAGATAAAGTATGTGATGGCTATATTTAAAACACTAAATATATTAATTAAATAAATTCCTTTTATAACAAGAAAGTTACTTCTCTATATATATTTTTAATATAGAATATATATATATATAACAATGTATATCTCAAGATATATTCGTATATGTATGCTTGAAAAACAACGAAATTATGTCGATTTTCCTAATATTTTCTATGTTACATTTTGTTTTAAATATTTTTCCGATTGCTGCTCAGCAAGCGCATGAAAATATACAAGTCGTACCAATTTTTTGAAGAACAAAAAAAACGACAAGCTTTTTTTTAATTCCCATTCATAGAGCTTAATCTAAAAGAGTATATATGTCATGTTCAATACCTACCCCAATTTTGAATTGCAATTAATTTAATTTCTTAGATTTAAAATTTTGTTGATTGATTGTACCTAAAACCTCACTTATTCTTAATAAAGACTACACTTTTTTTTAAATTGTATTATATTATTGTATATACAAATATATAGTAAAAATTTACTCAAATCTATGCTTTGAAAGAAGTATTAAAATAATAAGATGTCGCTTTGACCATACCTTCACTTAGTTCTCAACGAAGTGTTCTTTGCCTCTTCTCTGAGGAAAATAAAGAAATGCTTCAAGAACTTGTCTTTGAAATTAGTTCCCGATTTTTTTCCGTGCTCGCACTTGCATCTGCCGTCCGGCCTGCCAACTTGCTTGCATCCGCAGGCCGGTTGGCAGCCCCGGCAGCTCTCTCGCACTTCTTGTGTTTGTTTTGTCTCGTGCGTTGGGTTTGTGAGTGCGCCATTTGCCTTTCGACCGGCGCGCGCAGGAGACGTGAGACGGAGAACGCTGGTACGGCGAACCGAACACGAAACGTAACGAATAACGAACAACGAAACTGAACACACGGAACGGCGGATGCGAGAGTGATTGGAAAAAAGAGCGCGCGCGGAATTCGAAGTGCACAATTATTCAATTTTAGATTTATTTTTTTTTGTTGACTTTGCGTTCCGTTTCGGTCCAAATACGTCTCCTTTTTTTTATTTCTTGTTTGCCGCGTTTATTAAGTTCCTTTAAAGTGCCTGATCCATTGTGTTGTGATTGCCGCTTTTTATATACACAAACATCGGAAGAAGACGAAGAAGCATTGCCCGGGGTAAATGAAGCAGTAATTAAAAGTGCCTTTCGTTAATTAAGAGAAGAAAGGAAAATAAATAGAAACAGAGAAATACAAATGCATACAAAGGCAGAAGTGTTTGTTGTTGTTTTTTTTTTTTTTTTGGGAGTTTATATCTTTGCGATTTCGATTTTTCAAGCACTGATTTTAAGTGCTTAGAATTAAGTTTTTTTTTTAATATGTATGTTAATTCTGTCATTATAACATATGTACATATCACCGGGGCATATCTTTCAATAAACAAACATTAGCCAGTGCATATAGGCTGCAACAATAAAGTCAATTTAAGATGCATAAAAATGAAAACTTAATTATTATGAGCCAGAAGTGTGCGTTCACAGTTCACATATTATGTGCATATGTATGGACATATTTGACCTTATTTCACTGCTACAAATGCCATAAATATCCAATATTAATATAAAAAGCACGTTGCCGGCTTAAACTGTTGTCCTTCAAACTTAATAAAACTGTCTCTGATTTTTGTCAACCAGAAGTGAAAAAAAAACAATTGAAAAATGCAACCATAGTATTTGATTAACGTAGAAACGTTTAGGTAAAGAATAGGCTTTTAATACTGATTTACATGGTCTTAAATTTGTTGCGCCCACTGTCCAATGGCTTTTAACTTTCAACTGGAATCGAAGGTGGAGGTGTCAACCCTGTTACAACTTCTCCCCCTCTTGTTTTGCCGGGTTTTTGCTCCTTCATATGTGCGTCATTCCATCCCCCCCGCAGGGAGTCACCCGCATCGTCGACTCCTTGTCCACTCTCTTTTCGCCCACACCCTATCCCCTTCTTCGCTAAATTGCTTCTGCACGTTCGTCAAATATTTGCTCAACTCTTTTTAATTACATTACACACACTCACGCACACACAACGATTTTACCCCTTCACACGTACGCACCAAAAACAGATTGTAATTGCAGATCTCTCGCCGATTTAACGGGAGTAAGAGGAATGGAAATGGGAATGGGACCAGACCAGACCAAACCAGACCGAAAAGAGAGCTGCATTTGGAAAAGTGTGACTCACAATTCCTCGAAATTCTGTGATTGATTTTATAGAGAAAAGCTAGACCAGTTTTCCGAACATATAGCCTGCCCATTAATTACACTTGTACATATACATACATATGTTTTGGGCCTTTTACGTGTGCCATATACACGGAGGGTGTCGAGAATTCGTATACTCTTGCATAGGGTATTGTAATTTACATAGGAAGTTTGTATTCCTGGTTGGCATAACCGAGTGATCAAAGTGATCTTGTGTCGGGAATCCCGAAATAAGTTTTTTTAATTACAAGAAAACGAAAATTGCTTTTTTCTATTAAGTTCCTACAGAATTATATTTTGAAATTTTATTCACAAAGAGTATACAAATGGGACCGATGAAGGTACTGCATAATATCACTGAGCTATAGACTTCCCATTTTCAAAACATTGCTTTCAAAAGGTCCCGATTCTGAAAGAAATCATGATCTGAAGATCTTCAGGATTTTTGAAAACAAGACCTGATTTCAGGGAAATTATGTAAACGTTCTACATTACAATGCTTACTTTGGTAATGGTCCACTTGACCGAGTGATCCGTAATTGAAATGTACTGAAGAAAATCTGTTGCGATTGCATTAGCCCTCTTTTCTGTTTCTGCTATTTCGTTCTGTCCCCCCCGACCACCCAACATGTTTGTTTCGTAAAATCAGACGCACACGAAATCTTAACCACGAGTTGGAATATACGTCCACAAATACATACATCTATATGTCCCAAAATATTTAATATTAAATAGC